TTCAGAGAAGCCCTTTCTCTTTATAAGCTATTACCTTCTCTTCGATTTTTCCCTCCTAAAAAGAATTCACTTCATTATACTTCAGCAAAATTTTACTGTAAATAGCCAAAATATGGCTATACATTTTTAATAAGATATTTTTTTCAAGTATGTGTGCATATTGAGAAAAAAACAGTAAAATGTGGCTTGTTAAACAATGAATAGTTTTTTTCAGAGTGCAAAACAAAGATATTTTATATCGGTGAATATACAAATCTTTAATTGCAGCAGATGGTTTATAATGGCATTTTTCCCCACCTGGTAGAAATGAGTTAATCTCATGTTGAATCAATCTTAAGTTATTTCCTCTAAATTTTATTCAGATGCAATTCTCCTAAGTGGAAGGGTAGGCCTAATGAAGTTTACTCTTAATGGCCATACATCTTTACTTCCTGTACTTCATCTTTATTAACTTTAGAAAAATGTAATCCTAAAATCAGATTGCATTCTTTGATTGTACCACTCAGGAAATAATTAAGCTATAAACGCATCATTTGATCTGTGGCTTATCGTAGAGTTTTTCCACAAATAAGATTACGTATAAATTATTTCTACGAGCTGTGTTAAAGAGGATGCGTTCTTATTAAATTACAGAGCTTCCAGGATGAGAATCTAGATAGGACGTATGTGTAGACACATTTTGAGCCTTTCAAAGCACCTGTTAGTTAATGTGAAGTTCTTCAGATGGCCCACTGTCCTTGAAGCTTCTAACACCAAGGTGTCTTTGCAGCCCAGAGCCAGGTTACTGCTACCCAGGACAGCACTAATTTGCGATGTATTTTCTGTGGTAAGCAACATGTTTACATTACTTTTTCAAGCTGTGGTACATACTACTTGCACATTTCCATACTTTTGTTTCCTTAGGCCATAGTCTGGTCCGTGGTATCTGGGATGTAGAGCAAGCTGCTGTTTTTATGTTGTGATACTTGTTGTGGTTCATGTAGGTGATTTGGTCAGCTTTTGAGTTGACTTACTAATGAAGATTTAGTTAGAATTAGGATCTTAAAACTATTTTTGTTTACTTCTTCCAATAGAAATGAAACATAATTTTGTTTGTTCAATTTTGCTTTTAACTACTTTGTTGGGAGCAAATTTTAAATTTAGAATTTAAGGACAAAATTTATATCCATTTTAAATATGACTAGGAATGTATATATGCCTTATTTGAAAGCTTTTGCTTAACTTGAATTAGTTTTAGCTATGCATCTTGTAAGAGGAAGATGTAAGCTTATTACTTATTTTAATAGGTTGATGTCTGATTTGACAGGCTCCTTTATTTAGTAGGTTCGATATCTGTCGCTTAGGAGTAAGCTTAGTACTTTCCTTCACTTGCTCTTATATACATATGTATACATGTATGTACTGTCTCCAGGGACACACTAGGCTTGTCATTTAGCCACTCAGATTAGAGCTTAGATACATGTTCTTATCCTTACATAAGAAGGTCCATGTATCCTTGCCTGAATTCCTTTTATCCCCATTTGATTCTGAAACTTCCTGTTTTAAAAAATTGAGTTCTAAAAAGTCAATTATTTTAGCTTTTTAAAAAATTTATATGTACTTTTTGATTCATGTATACCTTGACTGGCCACATTATCTTCTGAAAGAGATAAAGATGTAAATGATGTACTGCAAAAGTGACTAACAGTCCAGCTGTGTGTGGCACCACATGTTGCAGAATTTTTAATGTGGTTTAATACCAGTAATATAGTATTATTGATATTGTTTCTTTAATTTTTAAATTTACTGGTTTAGACAAAAATAAATATGTTATAAACTTTTAAAAAGGAAAGAAAATCCTAATATATTTCTTTAATCACTTAAAATGATTTGATTTGCTGTAAGTGACATAGTTATAGAAGTGAGCCAGTTATGTGGCTTTTTATACATTTTCCTTCCCTCCTCGATTTCACAGTTAAACATTCCAGATTAAGTGTCTAACCAGTGAACTTATTTCTGAAGTTTCTGCCTACTAGGCCATCTTTTGAAGTAGCCACAAGTGATTATTGATATTTGTGTTATTTTTAAAAAGATGCTATAACTTTGTCCTTAAAAATTTGAGATCCACATGCACAATAATAACTGCAAAGAAAAGATTGATTTGCCTCAATAAGATATTTTTAAAATTTATGAAATAGAAGGTTTAAAAAGCAGATTTTTTCTTTACCCATTGTTACCTTTAACTGTACACAAATAATTACCACTTTGCTAAATAATTTGATTGTATTGTGTATAATAACACCTATTTGTCTTTTAGTCCTGTTTTAAAATAGTCTGTCATTAAGTGGGAAACCAGAGTTGTGAAAATTTAAATGTGGACAGTAAGTGAAATGTGCTTTAACTAAAACTCAGTATTGAAGGCAAGACTGAAATGGCTGCTTAGAGAGAATTTAGAGAGAAGTTTTACTCAAATTCCATTACTTATAGCACACTGTATTAGTTAAATTGCAACATTTTTTTTTTATTAGAAACAAAAATTCATAGGCTTTCCTATGTATCCTCCTCTAGCCAGGACAAATTAAAATCAACCTTTGTCTTTGGCTCTAGTAATAAAACATGGAGAGAGTGACCCTCACACAGCAGCTGTGTATTGGAACGGTGCAGGGTCACTGAATTAACCACCACACGATGCTCATAAAATATTGTCATTTAACCATTGAGATGGTTATGAAATTAGCCATTTGTATGTTATGAGCACAGATACCTTGTAGAAACTTGAGCTACTTGGAGTAATAATTACATAGCAGAAAGTGCAGTGGCAGCTGACAGCCTTGCCCAATCTTAGCTGCTGCTTCACATTGCTAGGTATAGCCTTTGATGTTTGACAAGAGGGGAAAAGGTAATTGTGTACCTGTAGTTCATCATTTACCTGGAACTTTTATTTAATACATTACATTTGTGTTCATTTTTAAAGTGCATATAAATTTCCCTGTGCTAATTTTTGCAACTTGACAAAATTGTTGAAGAAACAAACAAAACAGTCAGATTAAATATAGATGTGAGAAAATGCCAAGGGGAGAGATTCCTTTCCTCTTCTCCATTTATAGAATGAAAAGACAAATGATCCATTACCACAAAGAACTATGTAGCAAAGAATTTTAAGAGTTGTTCTTGGACCAGGATCCTCCCCATTTTAAGAAGATCTTCCCTGAAGTTTTTCTTTCCGTCTCATATGCAGGAATAAACTATAGTAAATAATTTTTATAATTAATGATATGAGCCACAAAAATATTACCCATATTTAAAAAATCTTTCTAAACAGGTGTACTGAGTGAACTGTTAACAAGCTTAAGAACATTCAACATGCTCTGTAAATTACTGAAAGAGTTTTTTCATTCAGTTTGGTGCGTGACATCAGATTTGTGTTAATTTTTTAAAAATCTATTTATTAAAGTCAATAGGATTGAGTTGAAATTTTGACACTTTTTTCTTGAATTTATATATTTGAGTTAAAACTTAGATTTCAGTTAGTGAATTTAATCCACTAAGATTACTGTTGAGACAGAATGTATGTTCTAGATGTGAGCAAAAACAGTTACAAGAGCCAAACAAGCCTAACCCACTGACATTCAGTTGTATCATTATTTATACAGCCTGAGGTTTTCATTTAAATTCTCAAATAAACATTGTTTTTAAAAAATAGTTAAATGGTAATGATTTTGTAGATTGTCCATGCCAGATGTTTGTACTGTAATAATTTCAGATGAATGTAACTTTGGATGTACTTTGTAAAGTACATTCTCCCAAAATTTTATACGTTCTCAGGTTATCCTCCCATATTCTATATCCTTGTCCTGCCAGAAAGTGGTATCTTTTTGTATAAAATACTAAATATTAGGTTATGGCCCAATGTGACAGTCTTTTTTTTTCAACATCTTTATGTTAATTTACCCAGGAAAGTATTTTAGTATGTTTACTAGACAATAGTTATATATTTTTATTTATACAAACATTTATGTGTTTATTTAATTTTGATGTAAAGAATTTTGGGGTTTTTTGTTAGTGATTAAATGGGGTTAATATATTTTTATATTTTACTTTGGTTCTCAGAATCCTAGGAAATCTAATGAACTATGTCACTGTAATTTGCCATTAAGGACAGATTAAATGATTAATCTAAAAATATTATAAAGAGGTGAGGAAAAAGTAGGTAAGTTTAGATAAAAGTATTTCTGTTTATCTACTCCTGGGATGTATCAAAAGCGTATTACATCCTGGTCAGTGTATGCTTCTTATAGTGAAGCATACTCCATACTCCACATACCATAAAATAGATTGTTTATGCTCTTGGCCCATAGATTATAATAATTCGCTTTAAACACAGAAGCACTTGTTTACTTACTTTTTAATATTAATGATCTAGAAAAATCTTTCAGAATTTCTGCTTAGCACATTTAGTGGCATGCTAGAATTCAGAAAAATACCTAGCATGTCATTTCTCATTTATTCCTCCCCAATGATAGGAGATAACTACTTCTTTACTCTCTCATTTACTGGATTAGATTTCAAAACTGTTTGAGTTTAACCTTAGGCATTGTATATTAGATTCAGCATTTTTATCTCATTAAATTTTAATATCCAGTGACATTAAGATGTCCTATAATTTAGTGGAATTCTAAGATGCTAAAAATGGGTCTGCATTGTGCATGGTATGTGGGAATGAATGGTCATTAATTCTCACGACAGAACCATGTCTGTATGAATGCAGGTGGTGTTTTGGTTTTTTCCCCTTACACCAAATGAAAAGTTAAGATTGTCTTTGTTACATTAAAATATCAGATAAGCAAGTTAATTTATTATATAGAAATGTAGCAAACGTTTGTTTTCACCAGTACTGGAAATGCTAGGCCGTTAAGAAAAAATGGCAGCTTAATTTGGGCAAATTTGATAAATGCATTAGCGTACTTCAGTCTAGTAATAAGGTTCTCATGCTCTTTCTCTCTCCTGTTTTTCATTTCCAGTGTTCTATTTAGGTGAGTTTTTGAATTCTGATTTTTCATTTAAGTTCCTCTCCACGTCATGAACAGTTGCCCCAAAGAGAATGTCTCATTGTCTTAGAAAATGTCAAGCTTAGGTGCCTATTCAGATGCTCATTAAATACTTGTTTTACTCAAGCTCTTCATATATAAATGTTTATTTTTTCCTTATTGTTGATGTTTTCCATTTGTTTCAAGTAAGCCTTCTTGGAGATGATGACAGCATTATGTTGCAGTCTTTCATTTGCTCTGTGTTATGTAAAGCTTATATTTTATTTTGCTAGAGAAAGAGAAGATACATTTGTAAATATGTGATGGTTTTATGTTACTGTCATGCTTTTTATCTCCTCTATCAAGCTATATAAGAAGGTAATATTCACCTGCACTGTTTTCCTTTTGTAGGGCCAACATTGCCTAGACAGAATTCACAACTACCTGCTCAAGTTCAAAATGGCCCATCCCAAGAAGACTTGGAAATTCAGAGAAGGTAAGTTCTCAATCTTTGTATTGCAGAAGGCCAAACTCTGGCCATAATTGAGAGTAGCTGTTTGCAAGCCACAGCTTTTATATTACTAAGTGAGTGGATACATGTCATCATAAAATTTCATACCTCCTTTTTTGTAAAAAGCATACTCATAGTACATTTAAAATATTTTAAGTACACTTAACAGCATACAAAATGTCTTCAGTAAGTCTTATTTGTATAATAGTTACAATCTGTGGCAAGTATAGATTTCACATGACCAGTTTAACTAGAAAGTTGAAAAATTGGTGGCTGGTTCTATAATACATTGATCTTGAGATACTACGATGAGTTTCAGTAGAATACATAATTATCCTGCTTATAACTAAATGCTGGTGGGACAAGGTTGGCGACTTGGTTTTCATCATTTCAGTGTAGCTTGGAAATACACTTGAAATTATAATGCAGCCTTGCTTAGAGATAGATTTTTCTGAGTTAGTGAAGAGTCTGAATTGTAAATCTACTTTGTAATAAGATTGTTTTATAAAATTTACGTATATTCAGTAACTAAAATTGGAGCTAGTCAAGCTACATGCCTCATTTTCAAATAATTCTAGAGATGCTGATGTTGCTTCTCATCATTATCAGGTGACCCCTGTTTGGAGGGTTGATCACTAATGTTAGATGGACCATTCTTTTGGTTTGTTTGTTTTGGTACGGGGATCGAACTTGGGACCTTGCACTTGCGAGGCTGGTGGTGGACCAGTCTTATATGAGATTTTCCACAAGGAGCATTTGTTCTGCAGCACACTGGCATTTCTTACTGTGCAGCCTTTGGTGATATTTCACATTTCAAAAGATCTTTCATTTTCTCTGTGTTGTGTCAATGTTTGTGTCCTGTCCCCCCAGTTGGCTGAGAATTCCAGAGCATAACTACTTAGCTCTTGAAGTTCCCCTAAGAGTTCCCAGAATGAATTTTGCCATAGAGCCTCCATATATTGGTGTACTCAGTCATGTTACACTAGAAATAGCTTCCACATTTGGTGAAAATCCATCCAGTTATTTTGAATGACGCTATAACAGTTATAAATAAATTTTTTTCTGTAGAAATAAGCTTACAGGATATAATAATTTCAGTTCTGAGAATTTAAAAAAATACCAGAATAGTTAATTCCAGCAGCGAGGAATACAGTGAGATAGAGAAATAGTGAATAACAAATGACCATACGATCGTTGAGATTAACACGTGTAGATAATAAGGAAGACCCAGGAGAGAACCCAAGACGTAGTAGAAGGCACTCTCGTTACCTTGTGGTCCAACAAGTACCTCCTGCAGTCTTGCCAGAGGTCAGGACCACAAGGGCAGGAGCAGGAGCCACCCCAGGGTGTGTCAACTTGGTAAGGTCAGGGGGTGGCCTGCCCAGGGGCCAGGATTCTGGTTAGAAAATTTAGCTCAGTGGTCCCACCGCCTGCCTCACAAGCGCTAGGTCCCGAGTTCAATCCCCAGTAGCAAGAAAAAGAAATGAGTGTCAGGCTGGGGCCGGGGAGGTAGCTCAGTGACACCACACCTGCCTGGCAAGCACAAGGTCCTGAGCTGGATCCCCAGTGGGGGTTGGGGGGTGGGGTGGGATGTTAGTGTCAGGTGCACTTCTCACAGTTGTTATGGAAACCCCATGCCTGGTACTGATTATTACTCCTCTCAAGGTGCTTGTCTAGAAGTACTCCTTTGGATTTATTTTTTTTGTTTATACAGACATAGATACTTCTACAGGGTTTGAATATATTTTGCTTAAAATCAAAGTTGTTACTTTCACTGCTCATTTGTTTAGTTGAAGACTTTATTCAGTCATTTTGAAGAATAAAATTTAATTTTCTGAAAAATTGGTTTGATTTTAAGTTATTTTCTGTCCATAGTCATGCACTAGATTCTTTAGATAACCCTTCCAATTTCTTTCCTCTCTGTTCCTTTTCTTTGCCTGTACCCATTTCTTTTTTTGTTTTGTTTTGTTATTTTGGTACCGGGGATCAAACTCGGGTCCTTGTGCTTGCGAGGCAGGCCATAGAACCACTGAGCTAAATCCCTGGCCCCACCCATTCCCTTTTAGTCTGGTGAGACCTGCCTTGTCTTCCCAGGTCTGCCAGCCATGGTGCTTCCATCACTGGCTGACTCTTGGTTTACATTTCTTCTTGATTCCTATTTTCACTCTTGTGTCTTCTCTGGTACTCCAGCCTCTTCTCAGTGCTGATTCTTCTCCTTTTCTGTCTCTTCCACAACTGATTCTTTTTCCTACATAAGTCTTTAGGTATCTGGTTTTTCTTTCTGCACATAGTACGTCCTTTGTAAAATTGAGGTTTGAGTTGGTGTATTAGTCCATCTTTCATTACTGCAACAGAATTCCTGAAGAAGTTTGCTTTCTTTAGAAAAGATGGTTAATCAGCTCACAGCTTTGGAGGTTCAAGGCCTGGCACTGGCATCGGCTCAGGTCTGTGTGGGTGCTTTTAGCTACCATCCATTCCCAGGGCACACACGTGTGGTGGGCCAGAGGACCTTCCATTAGGCCCATTTCTCAGAGGTTCATACTGTCTCCCGGCACTGCCACCCTGGGGGCCACACCTCCAAATCATGAACCCTTGGGGCACATAGACTCTCTCCAACCATAGCAGTTGGGTGTTGCAGCTCCCTGTAAGCACTAATGTCTCTGCTGTTGCTGTCCAAACCTACAGCCCAGCTTTGAGCCTTCGCTTGCCATCTAGGTTCACAGATCCAAACAGAGGACATCACATACCCTCTACCCTCTGAGAATGTGAGGGCAACAGTGGCCCTCTGTGCTACCCACCTGGCACAGCCATTCAAGTAGATATTCCACCATGTACCAAGCTAGAATGTTGTGAACCCTAAATGCTAACAACGAGTATTAATGAGAGTCCCTGTTGTAGAGAGCTCATCTATTGGCATATCCTACTGAATCTCATAAACTCTTATGATTTCATCTTTACTATAAGTTCTCTCACACACGCACACCCTGTACTGGAGATTGAGCTTTTTTAAAATTTTGAGACAGGGTCTTGCCAAAAGCTGTCCAAGCTAGCCTTGAACTTGGAATCCTCCTGCCTCAGCCTTCCAAGTGGTTGGGATTACAGATATGAGCCACCACACCAGGCTTCCATCTTTTTAATTTTAGTTTAGAAGCACATCATTCTCTATATTTATTCAGTCATACCTTGTCTTTTTCTGTAAAAGCCTTACAGCTTTACTCTTCTGACATTCTTATTGCTGGTAGTTTTCCTCATATTTATTTTGTTATGTACTAAAATTTTTAGTTGTTTTTTTTTCTCTTGAACTTAGATCGTTTTCAGTTCATCCCAGTGCCAGATTCATTTTTCTTAAAGTCTTTTGCACATATATGTTCTTTTTGTTGTTTTCTCTTACTGGTCAAATGCTAGATCCTCTGGATTATTTCCTTATGTCAGTTTTCTCATTTCTACCCTCATTTTGTTTTATATTCTTAACAGTTTTCTTAGTCTTATGTTCTAAGGCAGTAGTATTCAGTAGAGTCATATAAATAACAATTTTTTTCAAGTGGCCATATTAGTAAAATTTTAAAAGATACAAGTGAAATCCACTGCAACAAAAATACTGCCCTTTGAACATGAAATAACTGAAATCACTAAGATATTGTATATTTTAGTTTTTAGACTGAATCAGTCAAAATTAGTGTGTGTTTTACACTTGAAGCACATTTCTGCCCAAACTAACCACGTCTTGAGACCTCATTGGACAGCTTTGTAGGAGACCTTTCATTGAGAGTTTAATTTTATTTAATTTTATTTATTTTTTGGTACCAGGGATTGAACTTCGGTCCTTGCTCTTGCAAGGCAAGTGACGGAACCACTGAGCTAAATCCCTGGCCCGAGAGTTTAATTTTAAACTCCAAGAGCTTTTCCTTTTTCGTATTTGTTCCTTGTTCTTAGAAGCCTGTAGTGAATTCATGGCTGTACCTCCAGTCTCTCATTCCTCTTCCTCTGCTTGACTCGTCTCCCTCCTAAGGCAGCGTGGTACTCACGTGTCTTTCTGGTTCCACACACCTACTTGGTGGTCCTCAGTGGTCCATGCTGTGGCTCTGCTGTGCAGTGTTTCTCTTTGTCTGTGGGTCCATGCAGGGAGATAGGTGAGCTCTCCCGGGGGACCCCAGAGTGCCCCCAGAACCCCACACCTCCCTTTCTATAGTTAGCAGTCCTCTATGGGGATGCTGTTCCATCCGCTAGGCCAGAGTGTGAGGGGAGCTTGGTAACCAGCTGTCCTGCAGACTTCGAGGAAGAGTTTGTGCCTCAGCTTGATTCCTCCCTCCCCTCCCTGTTCTTTTCTTGTCTCAGGTGGGGTCTCCCAGGCTCCTCCTCCGTGTGCACTTAAAACTGCATTCCTGGACCCCAGTGCCTCCATGGCTTAGTCCAGTGACATCCAGGGACATGTGGGACAGGTGGTGGGGAGGTTGGGCATCTTCACCATCACTGAACATGGTGGTGTAGCAGATGATAAGTGCTATGGGAAAACAAAAATGAGATTCTGTGCCTCGGAAGGGCAAGGGGAGTGCTAGATGTAGATCTTACTGAGGTGAAAGAAAAGAAGGAGTTAGCCAAGCGGGTACCTGTGGAAGCAGAGGGAATGGTCAGTGCAGTGGCAGAAGCCATTATGTGAGCAAGAGGGAGGAGCTTGGCTCCATGGAAGCTGGACCCAAGCATGCCTAGAAGCAGGGAGTGCTGGAGATGAGATCTAAGGTGAGGCCAGATGAGGCAGGGCTCTGACACTACTGAGAATAGAGGAGTGATGTGACTTAGATGTTAATGGAATCAGACCACAGATGTCAGAGGTAGGGTCCATGCTGAGACAGCAGCCTGACAGGAAGGCAGCTAAGAGGCTGGTAACAAGTGGGAAATCCCCCCCCCCCCCCCGGCCGAGTCCTACTGATCTCTGAGGAGCAAGTATGAGAGGAAGGGGGCTTTGAGGGTTCAGCCTGAGCTGTGGG